AAGCCCCTGTGGCAGCGCCGGACGAGACCCGAGTCCACGGGCGGGGACCAGCACGCGCGGGAGCGGCTCTGCACCTCTGGAGGTCCTCCTGCGGAGGAAGGCTGTGATTTGCAGACCTCGAACCCACAGCAAGCGGCAGCTCTAACTTGATGGGTCTCTGCACAATCCCGCGAGCGCGTGCGCAGCCTCTGCCCGGGAAGCGGGTCCTGCAGACCCAGGGAGGCTCCCCGCGCGGACTCGCTCTGCCCCCTGGCGGCCGCCGAAGAAACAGGCGCCCCCACCCGGCGGGGCTGCGTGTGCTGCGCCCTGGACCTGGAAGGTTTCTTTGTTCAAAGCTCATTGTCTCACGAGGAATTGTTGTTCTGCCTTACTTTTGTAAGAAACATTGGTTTTATGTACCAGTGAGTGTATTTTGCATGTTTTAAATTGTTAATGGAGCTAAATCCAAGAAGATTGGACTTGAAGCAATTGTGCAGCGAACTTAATTGCTTTATCTTAAACAGTCTCCATGTGAATCTTCCGCAAGTGTTTTAAATGTGAAGTTGCCGCTTGTCAAATGAATTGTTTTAGATTTAATCATGAATTCGTGGGAGCAATTTAGAGTCAGCTTTCTTTACAGGTGTCTGACAAAACGTTCTCAGTGCCAAACACCCATATATCCTTATAAGTTTTTGGCTAAGTGAGTTTTTCCTCATACAAAGCTCTGAACAGTTAAACTGATGGGCTTTCTGTAAGTTATACAGTCTTAATTGGTACTTGTAAATAGCATTAGGTCGGCTCATTATCTGGAATACTGCAAAAATTAAGGCAGCAAAGGGATTTAGAACTTGTTTTGCATTGAGTTAATTTACTTTGTAATTTCTGTAAATGATATTGTGTACAGGTTTTCTGTTCAAATATTCATTGTTGAGACTGTCAGGATTCTGTTGCCTTTGGTTTTTTGTTTGTTTGTTTGTTTGTTTGTTTTTGGAGACAGAGCCTCAAGCTGTCCCCCTGGGTAGAGTGCTGTGGCATCACAGCTCACAGCGACCTCCAACTCCTGGGCTCAAGCGAGTCTCCTGCCTCCACCTCCCAAGTAGCTGGGACTACAGGCGCCCGCCATAACGCCTGGCCGTTTTTTGGTTGCAGCCGTCATTGTTGTTTGGCAGGCCCAGGCTGGATTTGAACCCGCCACCTTAGGTGTATGTGGCTGGTGCCTTAGCCACTTGAGCCACAGGCGCCGAGCCAATTCTGTTGCCTTTGTATGCAGTGACATTACAGAAATAAAAAGGAACTCTTTGACTGAAAAAAATAAATACATTCATGTTTATTTCTTCTTGATTAACAGACCTTTTTATTTAAAAAGGATTTTTCTGGATACAGAATTTGGAGTTGACAGTTCATTTTCTCCTCTGGCCGAGAAATTAAAGCACCATTCCCTGTCCTCTTTTGTGCATTGAGTGTTTGGCTGACACCTCTTCATGTTTCCTCTTTTCTGTTTGTCCTAGATTTTTAACAGGTTTTCTGTGATGTGTGCAGGTGTGGCTTCCTTTGTATTTATCTTGCTTGGGCTTCACAGACATGGCTTGACCAATGTGTTACTTTTTTTTTTAAATCAAATTTGGAAATGTTTCGGTCATTATTTCTTTAAATTTTTCCTGACTCCTGCTGTGGCTCTTAATTGCAAGTAATTACTTTCTAACAGGTCACTGCAGAAGGAATTTTTCAGCTCTGTTAACAGTTGTAGAGAGGAGCCACCATCCCATATGTAGCCCATTGTTGATAGAAACATCTTTCATTATGTGGCTCAGGACTGAACTATCAATAGATATTTTGTTGTAGACACAGTATATTTCAGTTCCATTTAGTTCTTCTTTTTACAGCTTCCATCTCTCTTAAAATACTCACATCTCACATCTTCATTATACCTTCTTCTGTGTTTTCTTTACCAACCTTAAAGTCCTGATCTGCTGAGTCTAACATCTGAATCATCTCAGGGTTTGTTTCTCTTGAGCATGAATTATATTTTCCTGTTTCTTTGCTTGTCTGGTAATCTTATTGTATACAGCATGTGATGGTTTGTACTCTAGATTTTGCTATCTTTCTGTGAAGAGTGTTGAGTTTTAGCGTAACAGGGTATTAAGTTACTGTCAGATCACCTTAAGCCTATGGCATTTTAGCTTGTAGCTTTATTCATGTGGCTGGTTTGTTCCTTGTCCTCTTGCTCTGCCTCCTGGTAAGTTGCAGATTTCGCTTCCTCTGCTTCATTCAAGCAGGCAGCCCAGTTATTACAAGCAGGCTCTCTCACGCTAAGAACAACGGTTGTGAGACTGGGTCACTACTTTTTTAACAAAAGAAAATCCTTTGGAGGAAAAATGTTAACGTTCTACACATTAGGCAACTACGTTTGACTTTTTCAACTACATTTGAGATTTTCAAATTGCATTTCCATACGGTCGCTGCTCTGCCACTGGCAAGCATGTTTATTTCACAGACGTTGCTGAAGAAATGTATAGATGCCACATTGTGTCTTAGCCCTTTGGTCTCCAAGTGACCTATTTTATGGACTTTCTCTAGCTCTGTTACTCATCAGAGGTCCCAAACTAAGCCAGATGAAGATAAAATACTATTGTTTGGAAACAGAAAGCAGTTCTCCTTGTTTTTTTCAGAATTCCAGAGCCTGTAGGATGTCATTTTCCAGCCACTCTTGTTGATTGTTTTGACATCCTCTATCCAGAGTGGGAGGCCACAGTAATCTGCATGAAGCTGATGGCACAAGCCCCTTCTCAGCACCCATTGCCACCCGTCCTGTGGGCACCTGACCAGTGGCCAGAGAGAAGCCTCAGCCAGGGGTCCACCTTTGTCTTCCTTGACTTTTGCAGGGTAAAAGGAATCACTCACTTGTATGGGCTCACCCCAAGGGACTAAACTGAATCTCATCCCCAGGGAATCACTGATATTAATCTGACCAGCATATCTTAATGATTTTTCTGGCACAGTGGGCAAGTATCCCGAACCCAACTACAGATGGGGTGTGTCCTGCACAGACTCGGGCCAAGGTGACTTTCATTTATGTTGGTGTTTGGGGCCAGTATAATCAGCAGTTAACTTTAGATCAGAAAGAGTGAAAGAGGGGAGGCAGCTGGTATTATTAACATGTGTGCTCGCCTGTATTTAAATTACATTTACTGAACACTTGACCCAAAGAAGTAATGGCCGGAGAGCCAGAGAGAAGGGCATCCTGCTCTTACTGACACAGAAATCTCCTTATTTGGATTATTTATGGCTCCAGGTTCTTTTCTTAGAGAAAGAGATTTTCTTCAGGGGCTTAAGAAGGTCTTTGCTGTTGCAAGTGTTTAGCCTCAGCCGGTGAGAGCTCAGATAGGGGGATTTCAAGTCCTTTTGGTTAAATTGAACACAACCCAGATTTCATTTGAGGGTGGTCTAAATCCATGTAGGGTGGATTTAGGGCAGATTCCAGATTTGCTAGAAAACCTTACAAACAAAATTAGGGGCCTGAGGTGTTTAAGAGAAGCTTGTCCTAAGAGCCCCTGTACCCCGACTCCTGAAATGGCAGCCTGTTGTGTCTGCTGTAGCCCCCTGGCAGAAGATCTTGGAAAGATCTTGAACACCACTTGAAAATGCACCAGGGTAGTGACAGTGATGGATTTCACTGGAAGCCAGAGTAACAGCTTCTGCAGAAAAGAATTTAGTACAGACTCTAAGCTGAGGGCTCAGGTGAGGACTGTGCACCCTTTCCTTTAGAGAAGCTGTCTCTTTGGGGATTGGAATGATTGGATATGGCAGGAGGGAAGCAGCAGTGTCCCTCTTCTGACCTCCCATGCGTGCCGTAAACCTGTGCTGTGACACCGTGGTGGCCAGGTCGTGTCTCTTGTGTGATAAGCATGCCTGTTAACCTTTGAATTCTTGGCGAGCCAGAGGAGAATTCCTGGAGAGCCAGGCCTATTGGAGTCTCTTTCATTGCCTTTGAATGTCATTGAAAAGACATTTGTATATTGCTTTTCTCCTTTTCAAAGATTTCTCTGCCATGATTTAATGGTAGAACACACCTTCTGGAGTATCATCATTTTCATAAAAGCCTTGTTTGTACCGGGCTTTGCCACAATGTCTCTGCCGTAGTTCAAGTGTGAGATGAATAACATACTATGTTTGACATCCAGTGTGTACTCATAAACCTGTCCCCACCTATGTGTGTGCCTCAGCTTGATAACCATCCTCACCTTTAGTTACTTCTCCCCTTGTTCCATACTCCCCTAAACATGTTGAATATTTCTTAATTAATAGACTTTAGTTTCTAGAGCAGGGTTATATTTATAGAAAATCCAGAGAGTTCCTATACAGCCCCCTCCAGGCTTCCCTCACACAGTTTCCCCTATTTTTAATATCTTGAGCTACCATGGAACACTTATTACAGTGCACGAGCCAGAACTGTACGTTGTCATTAACTACGTTTATGTTGGGGGCCACTCTGTGTGTTGTACTTCCTATACGTTTTGGCCAATGTATAGGGGCACAGGTCCACCCTCAATATCACTTCCCTAAAAGTCCTCGGTGCTCCTTGTGGGCCTCTCTCCCTACCCCAACACTCCTGGCACCCAGTGGACTTTTCACTGCCTTCATCACTTTGCCTCAATCACATGGTTGGAATCCTATGGTCTGCAGCCTTTTCAGATTGTCTCTCTTCACCCAGTAATATTCATTTGAGCTTCCTCCGTATCTTTTCATGTCTTCATAGTTCCTTTCTTTTTAGTACTGAATAATATTCTAGTGTGTGGAGGAAGCACAATTTGTTTATACACTCACTTACCAAAAGAGACTTTGGTTGTGATTATGAATGAAGTTGCCGTAAACATTTACATGCAGGTTTTTTGTGTGTACTGAAGTTTTCAACTCATTTGGATAATCCCCCCTAACAAAATTGCCAGATTATAAAATGCTGGATTTAAGAGAATCATTCTGTGGGCCCCCCCAGTGCACTTACAGACCCTGTGTGTTCCCAGGGACGACTACCATGAGGACGGCTTCTGCCAGCCCTACCGTGGGATCGCCTGCGCACGCTTCATCGGGAACCGCACCATTTACGTGGACTCGCTCCAGATGCAGGGGGAGATCGAAAACCGAATCACAGGTAGGAGGCACACGCCTTTCCCTCTCCTCACCAGGCAGCGAGCACGTTCAGCACCTGTTGCATGCAGTCGGTGGCCACTGTGTGTTCCAAGAGTTATTGGCACGGACAGCAGGTCCTTCCATTGAGCTTACAATAGAAAATCAGAGAACTTTTCAGAAGCAGTTAGAGTTGCTAACATTCGCCCTGAAACGTTTCCAGCTTATATGTTGAATTTAGTGAGTGCAAGTTGCTCAGAATATACTTCTGCACTTTTTAATTTGGCCAAACATGTTGGTCCACAGCACTGTCCTCACTGTGTCCTGGGCCAGCCACCCAGCTCACTCTTGCTTGACTTCTCCTCATCCTGCATTTCCTCTTGTACCCCCCGAGCCATGTTTGGTCCAAAGGTACATAGGCTGACCGCACCTGTTCAGGAGGGAGGGTTGCTGGTCATGGTGGTAGGGGTCACTGCTGTGAATGCAGACAACAAAGCCAGGTCTTCAGGTATCTGGTTCAGGATCTAAGGAATGTGGCAGGTCCTTTAGGATTCTCATAGACATATATACATATGTATACATATATACATCTTCTCTCCTGACCCCATATGGATCAAGAAAAATCTTGTGCAGATGGCAGGTGCCAGAACCCCAGTTTAATCAGATTTTCTACATAGTATCTCTTGACCAGGGCCACCCATCAGTTTCTCTGATGATGTCTGATGCTAGGACTCCCAGGAGAGTCTGTGGAGGCAGAGGGTGGGTAGAAAGGGACAAGAATGAGGACCCGAGGTGGAAACTCAACTGGTGTCATTGACATGCCCGGCTAACATCAGGTCACCCTCAGACCACCGGGTATAAAGTCATGGTCACAGAAGGGCTTGTGTGGCTTGTGCTGGCACAAAGGGACAGAGACAGGGGTCCGGTGGGAAGTGGAGAGGCAGACATGAGACACAGAGGAACTCGGGGGTGCCATCCTGGTCCACTGGGGGATGGTTTTGAAAATAGTGGTAGCTCTCACCACAAAAGCCTTTTATGCCATTTAAAGCAGAATTTCTCAGATGTTTTTGACCGCAGCATGCAGTGAAAAGTAGACTTTGCCTTGTGCCTTACTTTACACATGTGTGCACTTCACAGACCAACGTGGGTTGTGTATGAGGAACAACTTCATGCAAGCTGAGCACTCCGAGTTTTCTCTTTAGTTGTATTTTATGAAAGAGAAGGGTTAGTTATCCCCCTAATGCACTCTGACACCCTCTCGCGGCAGTTGTCAGCTGTGGGGTCATGACCCCTTTGTTCCATTTGTAACAATGAGGTAATCAGGAAGGTTGAGAACCTCTGCTATAGCTTATTCTGTCTTTTAAATTGCTAACCCAGATCAAATCGATGCCCCACTAATTGGCAAGCACTGATTCAAGGCACAAGACTGTCCCTCAGTGATTTTTTTTTTTTTTTGGCCGGGGCTGGGTTTGAACCGCCACCTCCGGCATATGGGGCCAGCGCCCTACCCACAGGTGCCACCCTCTTCAGGAGTGTTTTTAAGGGATCAAACAACTCAGTTATCAAAGCAGCTTTTTATAGCAATTTTAGAGAAAATTTAGAATAAGGGTTCTCTAGATCTGTGGTTTTTTGAAAACAGTAAATTTGAAGTTGCTCCCAACTTACTGACCTGGGGTTTGGAAATAAGAATAGTCAAGATGGCATAGGTTGTGTTGTTTTTTTGAGAGCAGGTGTAGATGAACACAAGCACTTGAGCTGTCACATTTCCTTGGTGCTTAGAAATCTGCTTTCAGAAATAAGCCCTGGAGTGATACGTTCTGAGCGGGGGAAGGAGGAGAAATCCTCTGAAGTCCACCTGTGACATGCTGCCAGTTGCTTAGCCCAGGAGAAGTGACAGGTGTAGCCTTCTTACACTTTCCCTGCCTCGAGGTCATTTTTGACGGCCCTCCCCATAATGGCCAAATTCCTAATGATGGTACTGAACTGGGCTCAAACCTCAGTACTTCTACCAAATCCCAATATCTGGTATCTGCTCCCGAATTTTAATATCAGCCACAAGGAACCTGGAGTACTGAGGACAATGTGAAGGGCATGGTGGTGTCCAGCACTGAGCAGAGCAATCTCTGCCACTCTCGGTCATTGGCACAGCCTGTTGCCAGACCCCTGCTGACCGGCTGACTGGCCAGCCCTGGGCCATTGGCATCACAGCCACTTTATAGGTTCCGTTGGGACTTTCACCTCCCAGTGTGTGGTCTCACATCGCTCTACAAGTAAAGGAGCAGGCCTGGAGGGGCCTGAGCAACTGCCACAGGGCAAACAGCCATGGCTGGGGTGGGGCCATGGAAATGGGACAGGAGTTTTTTAAGGGATCAAACAACCCAGATATCGAGGCAGCTTTTTATAGCCATTTTAGAGAAAATTTAGAATAGGTGTTCTCTAGGTCTGTGGCTTTTTTAAAACAATAAATTCAAATTTATTTTGAAAACTAGGCACTGGCATGGGGCTTTCTGGCTGGTCCCGTGGGCTAAGCTCCCCCTGTGGGTTTCTCCCAGTTAGAGCTCAGGCTCAGCAGCATGTTGGCTAATGGGTGTCTCTTAATCAGCCACCCAGGATCAGTTGCTCTAAGCCAGTTTTTCTCAAGTAGAGGTGGGGCACCTGCACAGCGCCAGCACATGCCTCCTTTAGAGCCCTGTGGTGGCCAGTTCTTTGCCTCTGGCCCTCCCCCTGCAGCAAAAGTCCCCCCACCCCCAGCCAACTGGAGCTAGGGCCTTCCAATTGCTTCTTGATTTGTATCGTGGCTCTGCCACCTCCACATCCCCTCCCCCCACCCCCCACAGCTGCATCTCCTAGAGCAGCCTATTCCCTCTTCCCAGGCAGACCTGGGGCTGGGAAGGCCAGGCTCATGCCCCCTCTGGTCCTGTGCTTTCCATTCAGGTAGGTCCTTAGAAAATGGCCTTTGGCTCTGAAATCTAACTTTCCTGTCCTGGAAGAAGCATCTTAGCTGAGTGAGATCTTAGGCCTAGTTTTCCTTCTTGTTCTGCTTCTGATGTTTGTAAGTGAAGCCCTTAGGACCAGGGACTTCTGTGTCTGCTGCAAATCAGAGCAGACACATGCACTGGGGCCTACTCCCACGTGGAGGGTGGGTGCAGGGCAGGGTGTCAGGGCTCAGGGTGGGTGGTGGAGTGAGCAGTGGGGCCCCAGGGTGCAGATTAGGGGTTGGGACCGCTGGGGTAGGGGCATAGGTGGGGCATGGGGCTTAGGGGTAGGAGCCTGGCAGGGTCACCACTAACCGTTTTGCCACCTCCGCAGCGGCCTTCACCATGATTGGCACCTCCACGCACCTGTCGGACCAGTGCTCGCAGTTCGCCATCCCGTCCTTCTGCCACTTCGTGTTCCCACTGTGCGACGCGCGCTCCCGTGCGCCCAAGCCGCGCGAGCTGTGCCGCGACGAGTGTGAAGTGCTGGAGAGCGACCTGTGCCGCCGGGAGTACAGCATCGCGCGCTCCGACCCGCTCATCCTCATGCGGCTGCAGCTGCCCAAGTGCGAGGCGCTGCCCCTGCCCGAGAGCCCCGACGCGGCCAACTGCATGCGCATCGGCATCCCGGCGGAGAGGCTGGGCCACTGTGAGTCCCGGGGACGGATCATGGGCGTGGGTAACTGCGGGGGAGCCCCTGCCAGCAGCAGAGCAGCCCAGGCCTCCCTAGGGCACTGGGACCGGGCTGTACTTTAGAGCTGGGGATTTGGAGGCCAGAGCTCCAGGCTGCCCTCAGGCTGGGCCCATGTCTGTTTTTGAGGCTGAAGTGGAGTCATTCCCCTTCCCTGAGCCTGGGCGTACACTTCTCTGAAATGGGAGGGAGGGTGCTTTCTGCCATAAGAGTCTGTTGGGGGCATTAGAGGACGCCTGCCCTCTGCCCTCTTCCACCTTGCCTGAGGCCGCTCCCATGCTTTGGGAAAGTGCAGGCCAGCTGATCCTACCCTAGACCTCCGCCCCAAGCAGTCCCCAGAAATGGGTAAGCTCCTTAGCCCTGCCTGTGTTGGAGACAGGCGGAGATGATCCATGTCTACCCTGGTGGAAGCTCAAGAAGGACTTTAGTTACCTTCCCCTTGAGGCAAGGAAATATGGAAGGTCCCCCGCCTTTCCAGGCACCCTTCCTGGGGTCCCTGCAACATGGCAAGGGTGGAGGCACATAATCCTGAGCCTGGAGCCTGGGGTCTGCAAAGGACAGAGGACCCTCTTCCCACTGTGCTTCCTGCTGCAGCAGAGTGGCTTTTGCTCTCTGGAGCCTCAGTGAACCCCATAGGGGAGCCTGGCAGGGAGGGTCATCTCAGCAGGTGGGTGGAAGGCACAGGACAGGTCCTTGGGCTGACTTCTCCAAGGAGAACCTTTGGCTCTTGTTGCTGAGTATGTTAGGGTCTGTGCCCCCCATGAGGGGTGGGACCCAGGAAAGAAGCCAGCTTCCTCTGAGGCTCTGGGCTATAGTTAGCTTCCTTGGCTAGTTTGGGAGCTCCATGAGTGGGTGGGGCTCCAGCCCACTGCGTGGGTCCTAACCCTGGCTGTAGGGTGCACTTAACTTACTGTGACTGTGGGCAAATTGTTTAAGCTCCTGTGTCCTCACATTCCACAGAGATACTAACAGTACTAAGTGGGTGGAGCTGCTATGAATATTAAATGAGTTATTATTTAGTAAGGTCTTAGAACAGTACCATTCAGTAAATGCTGTGTAAATATTCAACAGGTGCACACCCAGCTCTGGGCTTCTCTGTGGAGAGGGGCTGGTGTGTGTTGTCCTCATATTCCTGAGCAAGCTGCCCCTGAAGTTGAGGGCCAGGCCAGGGAGTCTGCCCTTCCTGCCTGCACAGTCCGATTTTGCTCCGAGAGCAAGTGATCCCGAGGGTGGGGTTGACACTCTATGTTGGTGGGTGGGGGGAATGGGTGCCTGGCCGGTCCCAGAGGTAGTTTCAGGGCTGTGAAATAACCTCTGACAAGTTTTCTCCCCTGATTGATGCCCCCTCCTTTCATTTGCGGGCTTGGGACTTTATTAAAGTTATTATTTCTCATAATGCTGCTTTTCTTGGAAGCTAGGTGAAATCCTTTGGTCTTTTGCAAATTCTAGTTTGGGCACACTCAGGCAAAGTGATTTTCCTGGCTGAAGTAGTTGAAGGAGGGTGAAGCCTCTGTGCCCCTGAGGCTTCCTAACGCGCCTTCCTCTCTCAGACCACCAGTGCTACAACGGCTCGGGCGCGGATTACAGAGGCACGGCCAGCACCACCAAGTCAGGGCACCAGTGCCAGCCATGGGCCCTACAGCACCCGCACAGCCACCACCTGTCCAGTGCGGACTTCCCTGAGCTCGGAGGGGGTCACGCCTACTGCCGGAACCCTGGAGGCCAGATGGAAGGGCCCTGGTGCTTTACGCAGAATAAAAACGTACGCATGGAACTGTGTGACGTACCCTCGTGTAGTATGTATTCTCTCTCTTTTTTTTTGAAGTGTTGACTGTTGCGTGAACCTTGGGATGAGCACACTCTGTCCTGACTGGGGGCTTGGCCGCCTCGGTACCGGGGGGCTACAACCCCCATATTAGCAGCATGATCATTTGTTTTAAATAAAGCTGTTGCTGGTCATTATAGGATGTTTTAAAATACAGAAATGGCTGGTGAATAAGTTGTAGCTTACCCAGTTTCACCACCCAGTGGTGACTACCGTTTGTATGTTGAACCCTCCGTCAGTCCTTTTCGGGTGTGTGGGTCTGGGATGTTCACTTGGGCATTTTGTTTCTCTGTTAAATTGTTGTGCAGCATTTCCTAGTAGTAGGAAAAAGGCTGTCCCTCCCGCCTCAGCGTTGAAGCTTTTCGCTGCGGTGGATTTGGTGGAGTGAGGTGAAAACAAAATTCACTTCCCTCACTCGTTCCTCACAAGTGTGTCTGTTGCACCAGCATGTACCAACTGGCTGACACTGTCAGTGGCCATGATCCCAGTGTCAGTGGCTATGATCACAGAGGTGGGATGGCCAAGACTTGTCTGGGAACTGGCAGCAGTGGCTGAATGAGGGTGTGACACTGACTAGCGATCAGCTGTGGAGCAAGTCCAGGCTCCCTGCTGCCTGGAGACCTCTCTCTGGGGCGCAGGCCCCATATGCTTCCACCCTGCAGTGGAGGGAGTAAAAACTGGTATTAATTACCTTCCGGAAGTGTCATTTGGCAGCTCCAAACGTGGTATTGTCTTTGGCTCAGCAGTTCACACACAGATCTTTAAGAATGTGTGTTCATTACAGAAACAGATTTTAAGATTGCAAATATCAGTAAAATTAAAATCTAATATATCAGTTAAATTAAAGTCTAATCAGTCTGGAAGGCTCCAGCCCTTTAAAACTGTTTCCTGCAAGAAAGGACTTGGGTCCAAGGTGCCCTGTAAGGAAAATAAGCAGGTTACAGAACAAGAGCTGTGCCAGGGCTGCTTTTTTGTTTAACGTTTTGTTTTGTTTCTGGTAAAAAGAAACAAAGTGAGTGGAAGTCTGTGCGTACATAGGTGACCTGAATTTTCATGGGTGAAGTATTGGAAAGATATCCAGCAAACTGATAGCAGGGCCTTCCCTAGACTTACAGAAGTGTTTAAATATAAGGCACTTTTTACAGTGAGTCTGTATTACTTTTGTAATTAAGTATAAAACATAAAGAAAAAAACCCCATTTTTTCAGACCTGGCAATTTCTAGAATCTTGTATTATTTGCACCTATAGGGCAGAAACACAGAGATACGTGTTGCATAAATACATGTGGAAGCTAAATACAAAACAAATCTATTGCTGATCAGTAAGGTGTTGGATCAGTTAGTTGAAGTGGGCCTGACCGTGGAATAGCTACATCTGCCACAGAATGCACAGATCTTTCTGTTCTGACATGAAATGATATCCAAGATATTTTATTATGGCGTAAAACCCAGAGCAGAACAGGATGATATGATTCTCTTTAGAGTGAAGTCTATTTAAAATTCTGTTTTTAAAAACCATGTGAAACTACTGTTTCTATGTGTAAAAATAGTTGGAATATCAGTTGCTCCATGTGGTTCAACCTAAAATACACATAAAAAAGTAGGTGACCACCAACCTATTAACAACTAACACTTTGAGGAAAAGGAATATGCACATTATGAAGTCTGCATTTCTGTAATACTACAATCTTTCCCCAGCAAGCATTGGTAATTTTAAATAGACAATAATAAAGCAAATAGCCATGCAAACGTGTGACCAGTGCTCACATCTCTGACCTTCGTGTCAGGGGCATGGAATCTCCCCTAATCCTAATAATGGAAAGTGAACCAGAGTCCCCGCTGCCCCAAAACCTTTCCAGAACATCTGCCGGGGGAGCTCTTTCAGAAAGAGGATCTCCTGGTGGTGGTGGGAGGGAGAGTGAGTTTGTAGTTTTGATTTGATCTTATTTCAGGGAGAATAGGGGTGGGGCAAGACTGGGTTTAGACAACTGAGTGTTCATTTTTAGAAATGAATTAAGCTTCTGGACACTCCACAGACCAGAAAACACTCATTCATTTCCAGCCTTCTTCGTAGGGCCATCTAAGCCAGATGTAGTCATTTTCAGGGTTAAGGGGAAGCCCTAGGGATGTGGGTGAGTGACCCTCCAGAAAACTAACTCACCTTCTGCCACATCTGGAAGATGGGGCAGCCTCCTTAATGGTGTAGCCTTCTCCATTGAGGTGCCCAGGGCTGGGGTAGGCGGGCAGCCCTTAGAACGCAGGCGCCCACTGTTGCTCCCAGCCTCTCTGCCTTGCTATGATTCTCCATAAGCCCTGCAGAGGGAGACAGTGCACCACTTCTGGCTGGGCCAGCAGGGCCTGCATTGTGGCAGGAGGCCTGCACTGTGCCTCTTGTTCAAGAATTCTAGCGTCAGCATTGCGTATGTATTGGGACAGACTCCTGAACTACCAGGGCTCTTTTAAAAGGAGAAAGATTTATACAATCTGAAGGCAAGCGAGAGTATGCCAGTGTTCTCTTAAACACATTTTTAATTATTATCCTAAAAAAATATGTAACCATTATACAAAAATGGGGAGGGGGTATTAAAATGTTGAATAAGGAAAGGATCATTTCTAATCCCGATACAAATTTTGTTCACCAAGGACAAGGGTATCCAATGTATTTCATTGACTTGTCAGTAGTTGAGGGGACCTTCATAAAAATAAAATAGGGTAGAGTTCCTTGGGCTGGGTTTCACGAGTATGCTGCAGGGCATGCATTTTGTGGGTGTGCATTGCTTTGTGGGGGGCGATGTACAGTTTTGTCCCTTTGTATAATTTATTGACTTATCCACTTGCAGTTAGATATTTTGGCTGGAGGTGGGAGATGGAAAGGAGCGTGTCATCTGAAAAATCATGGACGCCTTTATTGCTCACAGGTCCCCGAGACAGCAGCAAGATGGGGATTCTGTACATCCTGGTTCCAAGCATCGCAATTCCATTGGTCATTGCTTGCCTTTTCTTCTTGGTCTGCATGTGCCGGAATAAGCAGAAGGCTTCTGCGTCCACACCACAGCGTCGGCAGCTGATGGCCTCGCCCAGCCAGGACATGGAAATGCCTCTCATTGGCCAACACAAACAGGTCTCCCTGCTTCTGCATTCTAACGAGGTCGCTCTTCCAGGCTTAACCTTGGTTTTAATCCCAGGGATTGGTTGCTTGTGACATTAGCTTCTTAATTTACTCAGCACGTAACATTCTTTTAAACTATACTCCACTTTGCTGTTTATTATCTAAACCCTGTCAAGACACACATGTCCTTCAACCATAATGATAAGAGAGCTGGAAATTTACCTCCCCCAAGTCAGTGGGCTGGCTTCCCTTCTAAGTAGACTGTGTTTCTCTGCTGGGCCTCAGTGAATTGGCCTCCCTGTTCACGTGCCTCAGCTGTGCCCACAGGACACACAAGAAAAAGAGAGTTCAAATTGTCCCCATAATTTGAGATTCATATGGCATTTTAAAGAGACTAGGAGCTGATTTCTGGTCAGTTTTTTGGCAAGTTGGGTCTGCTTTGTTTGGCTTTTCAAGGAAGGATGAATACCAGTTTCCGAATGGGAGCAAGAGGGACAGGCCACCCCTACTCTGCGTGCTCCTAGAGGGCAGTGGGGGATGTGTGCCATGGCCTCTCTGGCTGCAGTGGAACGGCCATACACTCAGGCTGGGCTGTGAGATAACACATTCCCCCTGGCTGGGAGGGGCCCTCCCTGGCACTTAGAGGAATCTGACTCATTTGGCTTTTCAGCAAGGAGGCCATGGGGGTTTTCTGTGGGCATGACCTGGCCAGTGAGGAGGATGCAGAACCCCTGGGCATGCATGGAGGTCCAGGAGCCCCCAGGAAGGATGAGGGCCAGCCACACAGAAGGAGCAGGCATGGAGGCTGAAGGCAGTTGCAGGGTTTGGGGCATCTGCATCACCTGAGGGTGCTTCTGCCAAAAAAGGCATTTGACTCTAATCCCGGAAGCTGAGACAGACCCTTGAAGGGAACCTCTGTAGACAAACTAGCCTGGGATCTAAATAAGACAAAATCATGAAAGACAAAAAGTCATGGAAAGTGACATCTCCCTGTGGTGTGGCAGCACAAATGGGGAGGTGGAGGGAGCACAGCCAGGCGAGTCCAGGGGTGACTCTGGTGTGCAGGCTGGGCCAGGATATGTGTTTGCAAGTGGGAAGGAGAGATGGGGGGTGGTAGGACAGGTAGGTACATGAGTGAGAAGGGAGTCTGCAGCAGTATCTTTGGTGGGACTTAATTTGTAGCCTTCGGGACCAATTAAAGTTTCAGACCCGGCAGCCGTGGCATCCAAGTCACATTTGAGACTAATCAGAGACCCATGTGCCAGGCAGGCTGAGCCCAAGGTGGGCAGGACCTGTGGGTCTCCTGCAAGGTGCCTGTGATAGTCTTTCTTCCTTCTGAGCTCCCCACTAGCTGCCCTGCGCCTTCTTCCAGGGTTGCAGTGATAGCAGTGTTTCATGTGGAGCATTTCTTTTTGGCAGGCCAAACTCAAAGAGATCAGCCTGTCGACAGTGAGGTTCATGGAGGAGCTGGGAGAGGACCGCTTTGGGAAGGTCTACAAAGGCCACCTATTTGGGCCCACCCCCGGGGAGCAGACCCAGGCTGTTGCCATCAAAACGCTGAAGGACAAAGCAGAGGGGCCTCTCCGGGAGGAGTTCCGACATGAGGCCATGCTGCGGGCGCGGCTGCAGCACCCCAACATCGTCTGCCTGTTGGGCGTGGTGACCAAGGACCAGCCCCTGAGCATGGTCTTCAGCTACTGCCCACACGGTGACCTCCACGAGTTCCTGGTCATGCGGTCCCCACACTCGGACGTGGGCAGCACTGATGACGATCGCACAGTGAAGTCTGCCCTGGAGCCCCCCGACTTTGTGCATGTCGTGGCGCAGATTGCAGCGGGGATGGAGTACCTGTCCAGCCACCATGTGGTCCACAAGGACCTGGCCACTCGCAACGTGCTCGTGTACGATAAGCTGAGCGTGAAGATCTCAGACTTGGGCCTCTTCCGGGAGGTGTACTCTGCCGATTACTACAAGCTGATGGGGAACTCGCTGCTGCCCATCCGCTGGATGTCCCCTGAGGCGATCATGTATGGCAAGTTTTCCGTGGACTCAGACATCTGGTCCTACGGCGTGGTCCTGTGGGAGGTCTTCAGCTATGGCCTGCAGCCCTACTGCGGGTGCTCCAACCAGGATGTGGTGGAGATGATCCGCGGCCGGCAGGTGCTGCCCTGCCCAGACGACTGCCCTGCCTGGGTGTACGCCCTCATGGTTGAGTGCTGGAATGAGTTCCCCAGCCGGCGGCCCCGCTTCAAGGACATCCACAGCAGGCTCCGCGCGTGGGGCAACCTCTCCAACTACACCAGCTCAGCGCAGACCTCAGGAGCCAGCAACACTACGCAGACCAGCTCCCTGAGCACCAGCCCTGTGAGCAATGTGAGCAATGCCCGCTACGCAGGGCCCAAGCAGAAGGCCCAGCCCTTTCCACAGCCCCCGTTCATCCCCATGAAGGGCCAGGTCAGGCCTCTGGTGCCCCCACCCCAGCTCTACATCCCCGTCAATGGCTACCAGCCAGTGCCAGCCTACGGGGCCTACCTGCCCAACTTCTACCCCGTCCAGATCCCAATGCAGATGGCCCCACAGCAGGTACCTCCTCAGATGGTTCCCAAGCCCAGCTCACACCATAGTGGCAGTGGCTCCACCAGCACGGGCTATGTCACTACTGCCCCCTCTAACACGTCTGTGGCGGATAGGGCAGCCCTCCTCTCGGAGGGTACGGAGGACGCACAGAATGTCCCAGAAGATGTGTCCCAGAGTCCTGTACAGGAGGCAGAGGAGGAAGAGGAGGGCTCTGTCCCAGAGACCGAGCTATTGGGAGACAATGACACCCTGCAGGTGGATGAAGCTCAAGTCCAGCTGGAAGCCTGAGGGGTGGGAGGGCTAGGGCTGGAGGGAGAAGCCCCACAGTGACTGTGTGGGGTTGTCAGCCGCCTTGAAAAGACGTAAGACCCAGTAGTGATCGGAGCTCTCTGGTTTGTAGCCTCAGTGGTGTGAAACCCTGCTCCTCTCTACCCTTGGACACATGGAGTTGCCACTGCCTAGGAGTTCTGGGCCTGGCCAGGGGCCCAGCAACACAACATCCTTGGACACTGGACACACAGTGACCTCTGACAGCACCTGCATTTATCCTGGTGGTAGTTGGTAGCGACCAGCAAATGCTTTGCAAAAAAATGGGTGGCACCTTCACTTCATAAATATGGAGTGAGTATTTTGAAACTTTGGGAACACAAGCCTGCAAGAGGCAGCCAGGAGGCACCTGGGGTTTCCAGGCCTGTTGGTTTGGGGATCTTGGGGTCTGCTGCCCTCCCCCCGCCCCCTGCTGGGAATATTCTCCCTAAGTAGCCAAAGATAAGGGGTGGGGGAAGGGGAATGGAGCCTGCTTCCCACTGCCCACTGGGTCCCCTGACAGACAAGGGGCCCTGAAATGGGAGCTTTCCTTATTACAATGAAACGTGCCTTTAAACAAACCGACACAATTTTGTATTTTTGTGAAATGGTTTTAATTATACTGCATGTGTATTTTGTCCACTTTTCTGGAATTTGAGGGAAAGTGTTTTTTGGGTTTGGAATGTTCAAAGGAAGCAATATTGTACAGAATACAGTATTGTTATTTTTTTTTTAAGAATCATGTACAGACCTTAAATGTAATTTATATGTTTTTAATATGCCATGACTTAGTAATTTAACTGTTCATATTGTCCATGCTGGGACACCGTCTGATTGGCTTTTGGGGCGTTTATCTGGTTCCACGTGGGCAAGGTCCTTTCATTTCAGAGCCCCTGTCACTCGCAGGCCTGTGTCCTGCATATGTCCTCGGTCCCATCTGTAAACTCCACAGTTGGTGTATCCAATAAAGCGGAACAGCACGTTTGCTCAACTCTCTTGCAGGTTGCAGGGACCCTGGGCGGGAGGCACTGCAGGGCACAAGGTGCTGGGATGGTGCTCCTCCTGCCCAAGCCCTTCCAGCGGGACTGGGGGCTTGCCGAGGACCAGGGCTCCATGCTAACATGGGTATGCATTGGCAGGCAGATGATGGAAATAGTTCGTTGGCTTTTCTCTGTTAAGGTCGTGAGAGCGTATCAATTGCAGATGATGTGAAGGTGTCCATAGTGTCATTCCTGCCCCTCCTGAGGTCCCAGAGCCCCTGGCATTTTATACCTGGAGCCTGGCACTTCCTGGGCTCCTAGAGCAGGGCTGTGGGCCAGGGAGGGGTAGTAGAAGGGCCTCCACCAACTGCCCAGGGCTGCCTGCACACCCACCCCCACCCCCTGCTGACCCCCGTGTGGCCAGATGTGCCAAAGATGGGCTTGTGGTATAATTGGTTTTGAGGAGACATGAGAACTCAGGTGGGCAGAAACCCACCTGTAACAGCAAGTCCCCTCACTTGGAGTAGATCCCACATGCTAGGTTACCAAACTGACCACATCATTCTAAGCCTGAGGTTGTCCTATTGTGGGGAGAAGTCATCCTGCCCTAACCTATCTCTAGGTTTGTGGCTAAGGTGCTTCTAACAAAAGACAGATAAACACGTTGATTTAACATAAATTTTACATGACACTGGAACCTTCAGAAATGACCCCGAGAAGCAGAAGCAGGGAGACCTGTGTGTCTTCATGCTATGTTTGGTGATGAGTGGACAGGAGTGTGCAAGTGTGATTGGACAAGGGAGTCTGACCCAACAGCAGCCGAGTGGGGGACTCAGCCAGGCCTATTCAGGTTCTTCTTTGTGTCCCTCTGCCTCTAGAGATAAGGACATTCCACTCCCCTGGGTACAGACAGGGCCTCTCTGGAGTGAGGGTTTCATGACCTGCCTCCAAGGTGCAGGGTGGGAGAGGCAGAGGGACCTCCCTGCAGCCGTAATTTCCTCTAGTGCCATGTCATGGAGTGTTCTTTCCAGGGCCCCATCCCCGTTGTCTCCTGGCTTTCACATACTGCTACTCACGGATGTTCAGTGTGTGTCCCCAAATCAGGATGGATCCCTCCAGAGGCAGTGATGTGATTGGGGTGAGGACTTGAAGCCCCTCCTGGCCGGGGTTGCCTGGATTGCATATTAAAGGAACACAGGCTACATGGGGTTACTTCTCTTTTCCACAGACCTGAAAGAGGACCTTAGTTCTGTCTCTGATTTGGTACACCTGATGGCTTACCTGTTCTTTTGAGACATGAGAGTCAGAAATGAGAAGTAAGTCCTGTCAGCTCAGCGTCACTCAGCCCACAGAACGCAACAGCCCAGGCTACCCATGCCCTGGGCACGGTCGCCACAGCAGAGACCCGGCAGAAGAGGGTCACCAGGTTCACTTTGGCAGAGTGAGGGGGATTTGGCTTGGGAGACTTTCAGAGGGGGCTAAATGTAACATTGCTGTTGGTTACCGCCATTCTAATTGTAAAATCTTGGTAAAATGTAAAAGTATCATAAGGAGGTTTACTGAGTTTTTAAAGTTCCTACACTTAAGAGATAGTGACTTGATTGGGATGTTCCAGAACAATTGGTCCCAGAGCTAAGCAGCACAATTTAGGTAAATGTCACTAGTGACAAGTCTGTCCTTGTCTGTACCCACAAAAGAAGATTTTCACAGGTCTTGTATAACTCACTTAAATGTGATGGAGTTTTAATCAAGCCACAAATACTTTTGCACTCCCTATAATTTTTGACACATAATAATTGTTACAACAGTCTATTAGAACAGTGGGTAAGTTTTTCTGTGCTAATTTAGGGTATGTGACTAAATACTCCAGTTTATAAGAGCTTCAACTAGCTCAGGAAAATCCCTGGGGTCTCTCAACATGGAAACACTTTAAATACACTTAGTTTAAAGATTTAGTTCAACCTCACAATTTCATGTTGATAGCTATTTTTGGACAGTTTGTGATCGTATAATGATTTTTGGAAAAAATCTTGCACAGGCATTGGTTCTATAAGAATAATTCTTACTGGGACATTTAAAATCTTTTTGAGATGAACTTTTGAAACTGGATGTGTCAAAGTAAATGTACTTCCAAAGGAAATTTCTGACCTCCTCCTGGCCTCTGCTAGTCTGCATGAAATTTCTAAGATCAGTCCTGCACCCCTCCTCCGTTCCCCCTCGCACTCCCTGAAGCAGTAGAGACTTCAGATATTTCCTGGTCCTGCTCTCTTTGGGCACCAATAATAAGAGAGTAATGCTTAATTTAGGTAGAGAAGGCCTGGATTTAAGTTCACCTAAATTCAGCAACTACAAAGAAGGACATAAATAGCCTGGTTGCCAAATGTTTAAACTTACGACAATAGAGTCTTTACAATATTGTGTTTTCAGTTTAACTTTGTTCTTTGATTATTGAATAGCTGATACATTCATTCCTCTAGTTTAAAGGCACCGTGAAAGATCCACCCCTCATTTGTCCTGACTTTCCCCTCTGTTTCTTGGGGCTCTTCCCAAAGTTTTTTGTGCATATGTAAGTGAATGTACCTACGTGTTCTTGTGTTTATTCCTCTTACTTTTTTACACAAATGGTAACCGTCTCTGCAAGCTATTTTCTGCCTGGCTGTTTGCCCTAAGCAGCGTATCTTGGTGATCTTGGCGTGTCAGAGGACGGGCACTCTGGGTTCTTCAGTGTTCTGTGGTGGGGTGGACTGTACTTTGTTAAACCTGTGGCTCACTAACCGGCTGCCCTCTGTTGCTGCAGAGTCTGCCCCTGCTGGTTGGCCAGCCCACAGACTGCAGACACTCCCAGAGGCAGCCTCCCTGGGGAGTGGTGGAATGTGCCGTCACTTGGTAGATAGTGCCACACACATGCTGCCACTGAGACATCTGAGGGTGCCGTCTTGCCTGGTCCTGGAGTGCCACTCACCTTTAGCTAGAGGTGTCTCTGCTTGCTTGAGGCACCTTCCAGGGAGGGTCCTGGGGACACATGGCTCAGCCTTCTCGAATGCTTTTTATAAGGACAGGGTGAGTTAGCATTTTTTGCTCATCCTTACTTTTTCTACACTAATTTATCCTGTTCACTGTATTTCTGAGACTGGGGTTTTCAGTGAAAATATTGCCCAGAGGCAGAGCAGTGTGTCAACCGTCCACTGGGCATTGGAAGGCCCTGGTGCATCTCTAAGTACCAAAGGGGGGACCAGTGGAATTGACCATCTCTTTTGAACTCCAGAAGTCAATTGCAACCCTTCCCCCATGGCAAATGCAACACCCTCCCGGGGATGCTAACTGCAACACACAACCCCACGGCAACTGTAACAGCCACTCCCATGGCAGGTGGCCACTGCACCCCCCTCCAGGATGGTTGAGCCTGCCCCCTCACTACTGCCAATCCTGGGGAACTCACTACAAATGGCCTGGGTGCCTAAAGGAGTGACATTTTGTGGCTCTAGACAGGAACTAGGTGTCAGGGCAGGGAGAGGCCATCCAGACAGGTAAAGGGTAGGCAGCCCACCTCCCCTCACTCCTGCTGCCCTTGGGGTCACCCTGTGGCACTGGCAGTCATTACGTTCCCGCTCAGCGATTTCCTATGTATTTCATGCACTGTTTAACATGGCTTTCTTTTCTAGGGTTTAAAAAATCATCATGTTGTCTCTCTTTCTCCTTTTCTTTTTCTTTTTCATTTCTTATAGCATAACATGTACATTAATGCAATCATGGGGTACAGTGTGCTGTTTTCATATACATTTTGAAATACTCTCATCAAACTGGTTAACATAACCTTCATGTCATTCTCTTAATCATTAAGTTAAGACATTCATACTCTGCTTTTAGAAAGATTCACTTGTACCCTTGTAAGATAAACCAGAGAGGTGACCCCACCAATCACCCTCCCTCCCCCTATCCACCTCCCTCACCTTCCCTCTCCCACCCCCTTCCCATATTCTAAGGCTATAATTAGGTTATGACATTCCTATGAAAGCTATGAATTAGTTTCAAAATAGGACTGTGTACATTGGATACTTTTTCTTCCATTATTGAGATACTTTGCTAAGAAGAACATTTTCTAATTCCATCCATATAAACATGAAGGAGGTAAAGTCTCCATCTTTCTTTAGGGCTGCGTAATATTCCATGGTGTACATATACCACAATTTATTGATCCATTCGTGGGTTGATGGGCATTTGGGCTTCTTCCATGACCTCTTTCTCCTTTCCTTACTGCACTTTATATTTTGATTGTCTCCTGGAAAACTGTGATGTACCCCCTCATCCCCCACTGTGTGTACAGTGGAATGTGGAACCCCAGAATTCAGTTAAGGAAATTCAGCACTGCTTCCAGATGCACGAAATAATTCAAATTAGGCTACAGGAGCCAAGGGACTTACATACAGATTGCCTGACTATCTGTTAGGGTTCCAGAAGTGTCCCCCTGCTCCTTGATTTCCCATAAATAACACAAAACGCGCTGCAGGCCGAAATTCACTGCAGATCCTCTCTCTCTGAGCCGCAGTCATACCTGTCACACATTTCTCTCTCTGAGAGACCCAGGCAGCCCCCTGAGGGTTCTTCTGGTCCTTAAGGTGGAAATCTTAAGCCTCACTTAGTCTCTACTGTTGTGTCACAGAAGGTTGAGCCACTGGGTATATATTTAACAGCTCTATGACACCATAACTTCCATTTTTTAAATTCTAGGTGTACAATTTAATGATTTTTGGTAATTTGCAGAGTGTCCAGCCTTTGCCCAATCTAATTTTAGAACATTTCCATTA